CATTCAGATCATAGACCGATTTTGTTACATTCAGTTACAACTGATTATGATCCGTGTTCGTTTAAATTTTTTAATTCATGGTTTTAAGCTTAAAGAGTGGTCGAAGATTGAAAGAGATAAAACAAATATAGATAAGAATAATTTGAAAAGAAGAATGGTGGAGATTGATCAATTTTTTTATTTAGGTTTGGCGAATACTGAATTAGTGAATGAAAGAAGGGATTTGTTGAGCAAATTGTCTAAAATAAAAAATGATGAAGCTACTGATTTTTCTCAAAAATAAAAATTTAAATGGGTGATGGAAGGGAATGAAAATTCAAAAAATTTCATCGTATCCTTAAATGTAAAAGAAGAAAGATGGCAATCCCATGAATCTTAAAGGAGGGAATTTGGATTACGAAACCTAATTTGGTGAAACTGGAATTTCTTGAAGTATTTAAAGCTAAATTTAAGAAAGTGGAAGGGTTGGAGATGGTGCATAGGAGTTATCAGCTGCCTAGCTTGAATAAAGAGCACAGTGACAAATTGGAGGTTCCTTTTTCTAAAAATGAGGTGAAAGCCGCAATTTAGGATTGTGGTGGCAATATGGCTCCGGGCCAGACGGGTTCAAATTTTCTTTTGTGAAACGTTTTTGGGCCTGTTAAAGTATGATATTCTTGCCTTCATGAATGATTATAGATGCTTTATTCCTCTAGGATGTAATTCATCGTTCATCACTTTGATTCCCAAAGTGATTTCGTCTAAGGTTAATGATTATCGCCCTATTAGCCTTATTGGAGTTATCTATAAAATTATTGCTAAAACTTTAGTTAATCGGTTGGCTAGAGTTGTTGTGTCAATTGTTGGGGTTGAACAATCTACGTTTACAAAGGGGCGTCAGATTCTTGACGGACCTTTGTTGATAAATGAGGTTTCTTCATGGTGTAAGAAATACAAGAAAAGGGTTATGATTCTCAAAGTTGATTTTGAGAAAGCATGTGATTCGGTCTCTTGGAATTTTTTGTTGAAAATGTTAGATTTCATGGGGTTTGGGACTAAATGGAGAAGTTGGATTAATGTGTGTCTCATTTCTTATAAGTCCTCGGTGTTAGTTAATGGTAACCCTAGGGATGAATTTAGTTTGGAGCATGGGCTTAGACAAGGAGATCAGTTGTCCCCTTTTTTGTTTCTTTTGGTCATGGAAGCTCTTAATGTAGCTATATTGGATGCTATGGAAGCGGGTTTATATTCTCCCGTTAGAATCGATAATGATGGAATTCGGGTTTCACATTTTCTCTATGCGGATGATGCCTTTTTTATTGGTAGATTGTCCAGATTAAACGTGAAGAATTTAATTGCCATTTTGAACTGCTTTCATGTTGTGTCAGGCTTGCAGATTAATTTACATAAATGGAAAATTTATGGTATCGGGGTAGATTTTACTGTGGTGAAAAACATGCCCAATGTGGCAAGTTATGAAGCTGATAAGTTCACGTCCACTTATCTAGGGGTGTTTTGTCGGAGCAAGTATGTCCCGTATTTGTAACCGCGATCCGATTTTAAGTAACTTTAAGAAGAAGTTAAACGGTTGGAAGGTTAAAATGTTATCTGTTGGTGGTAGTTTCACTATGATCAGATCAGTTCTTGGTGCTTTGGGTATTTATTACCGTTCTTTGTTTAAAATCCTTTCTAAGGCTGCTCAAAGGTTGGAGGCGGTTAGAGCTAATTTTTGTTGGGGAGGCGATTTGCAGGAAATGAAGATTTCTTGGGTTAAATGGTCTTCTGTTCTTGCTTCCAAAGAAAAGGGCAGCCTTGATATAGGTTCTCTTACGGCTTTAAATGAAGCTTTACTCCTTAAATGGCGTTGGAGATTTAAGACTTCTCCTACAGCTTTATGGGTGCATGTTATTAGATCTATTCATGGCATGAATGGTGGTTTTATAGATGGTGGCCGAAAATTGAAGTCTAAGGAAATTTGTATTCTATTGTTGATTTTCTTCTTACACTTCATATAAATCACGTGATTACCTATGGATTCTATGCAAAAAGTGATTGGGGACGGGAAAGGAACTAGATTTTGGAAAGACACTTGGGTGGGGTCTGGGTTGCTTGATCGAATTTTCCCTAGATTGGCTAATCTGGATACAAATATTAATTGTCAAAATGGTGAATAATCAGTGGCAGTGGAGTTGGCGGACTGAACCACGAAGTGGTGCTCAAAATGTTCTTTTTTAGAACCTTCTTGACTTGCTTTTTCATGTGCTTTTTTCAGACAAATCGGATTACTAGAGTTGGAATCTTAATAATGGGAATGAGTTTATTGTTAGACATGCTCGTATATGTATTGATGAAATCCGATTGACATCTACTAATCTTAAAATGGAGTGGAATAACATTCTCCCAATTAAAATTAATATTTTTAGATGGAGATAAGGACCGTCTTCCCACTAAAGATAACCTGCTTAGTCGTGGCATTGATATTCCTTGTGTTGTATGCCCAATTTGCTCCAAAGTTATTGAAAGTTCCCGTCATGTGTTGATCGAGTGTGAAGTGGCGGTCCAGGTTTTTGACAAAATTAGACGATGGTGTGGTATTAATTTCGCCAATCTTCTTTTTGTTCGAGATTTACCTGATTTCTTTGAGTTCTATATTGGCAGCAAAGAAATTGGTTTCGGAAGTTATAGTTGTCACGGCTTGGTGGTCCTTATGGAAGTTCAGAAATAATTGCATTTATGACACGATAAAACCGAGAAAAGATAGATTATTTGATGATATCGTTTTGTTTGCTTTTAACTGTGCTCATAGGAAGCATAAGTTCCACGTTAATCGGAATGATCGGCTTCAGAACCCTTTATTAAACTCTCTGATGTAATTATTTGGTTTTAGCTCTAGCTTCTTGTTAGTGCTTTCTTTTTATAATATTTCAGTTGTTCAACAAAAAAACCTATTTTTATACCCTTCTGAAAACCTTCTAAAACTTGATTATTGATTCCTTCTCATAGATAGAGGTGGGATAACGGTGAAGGAATTGGAGGCGGTGAGGATATGTTCTAATCGTCGATGAGGAGGTGTCAGTGGCATTCTAATCAGGGGTGAGAAAGAAAGTAGATGAAAGGGAGAAGATGTTCGCTTCTACAATGACAAAGCGAAGATAAAGGGGCGACAAAGAAGATAAACTGTCTAATGTGAGAGGATAAAACTTACTAAATAACATATATGCAAATATATATATATATATATATATATATATATATATATATATATATATATATATATATATATATATATATATATATCAGTGTTGTAAATATCGGCCTAGGCGGCGCCTAGGCGCTAGGCGGTCTGCAACTGATTACGATTAGGGGTGCTTGGCGGAAATTGGTCAATATCGATCAAACTCGGGCTAGGCGGTCCTCGGCGGTCCTTGGCGGCCCTTGGCGGTCCTCGGCGGTCCTTGGCGGGAAGATTTAAAAAAATTCAAAATTTCAAAATTTCAAATATTACACCAAAATTTACAAAACTTCAAAATTTTAAATTTTTAAATATTCAAATATTCAAATATTATACCAAATATTTCAAATTTTCAAAATTTAAAAATTTTAAATTTTCAAATAATATTTTTTCTTAGGATATATTAAGTTTTAAAATAGTTTTATTAGTAATTTATGGTCCCCGATTAATCCTTCGATTAATCCCCGCCAAACCGATTAATCGCTTGACCCCAGTCGACCGCCGAGCTACCGCCGAGCGATTTTTACAACCTTGATATATATATATAGAAAACTTCTAGTTATAACACACCTAAAAATGATTTAGGATTAAACCGAATTTTAAAAGTAAAAAAATAAAGAATCTACTATAATAAATGAAAGTTCTTTTTTCACATGTCACACTCTCATTTAATTTGTCAAATGTTATTTTTTGATTATTTTGAATTAATTTCTTTTCCACATGTTATTTTATGTATTTTTCTATTTTAATAAATTCCATATAATACTTTAATATAACAATTACAATAAATGTAGTAATAAATGAATATCAATTTCATTAATGGACTTACTTTCTTATTTCAAAATAATCAAATTAAAACTTATTAGTTTATTTTGTTTATTTATTTAAATTTAAAAGATAAAAAAATCAATTTTAATAATTCATTATTTTTCTTATTTTCTTATAAATCAAAGTTTTTAAATATTTAGATTTTTATATTTAATTTTTTTAATTAACTCATATAATACATAGATGTGTTTATATAATTTTCTGGTTACTACATTAAAAAGATGATGCTAAATTAACCCATTAAAAAGTCAAACGCAAAGTCAAACATAGATGTGTTTATATAATTTTACAACTTTCAAGTTGCAGCTATTAGAAATTGATCTTGAACCCAAATTCTTCTTTTAGGGCTTCTGCGTTCCTTCTAACCGTATGGAGAGAGCTCTCCATACGGTTAGAAGGAACGCAGAAGCCCTAAAAGAAGAATTTGGGTTCAAGATCAATTTCTAATAGCTGCAACTTGAAAGTTGTAAAATTAGGGTTCGTCTTTGAATTTCCAATATTTCCATCCTCTTGTTCTGAAAGAGGTACGGTTTTCTATCACTCAAATCCTAATTTGTTTAATCAGATACATATAATTCCGGCATTAATCAAGACAATTAAGGTTTTCATCATAAGTCGCAGATCAATGGAGCGAAAACGAGCTTTTGCTTCGTTAGATGGTAGAAAGAGACAACGAATGTTGGATTTAGAGAAGATTACAATCGACTTTCAGAGAGAATTGGAGCAACAGAAGAAGCAGAAACTTGAGAAGCTGCAAGCTGAGATTTCAAAGATAACGCTTACAGATAATCAAGACATTAATTTTATGCAGAATGTAAGGAGATAATCTGGCATTCATCTTCAATTCTTTTTCCTTTTTGCTTCATTGAGTTTCTGCTTTTGATAATTTCGTGTTTGAGACATAATCAAATCATAATCGTATACTAATTTCATAAATCGTGAATACAATTGAATCATAGATTTAAACTGGATCTGGGAAAAGTTCATCTTTAAGCGAAGGAGCGATCCATTGAATCTGAATATAAGTGATCTCCCACAAATCATTCCCTTCTTGAGGTACCAATATTTCCTTCTCTTGCATAGTCTGGATCATCTTCTTCAATAAACCAGGAACAAGTTCTCGCATCTTCGATTCTCCATAAACCCCAAGATCCGCTTTCATAACACTATCCATTCTTCTCAACATACTCAACCAAAACGTCTTGAATCCAGGGCTCTCCACCAGCACCTTCAAGAATTGCAGATAAACATCCACAAAAAACTCCATAGCCAACTTCAATGTCCCTTCCATGCTCCTCGTTTCCCTCTCTGCGTTCTCTCTCGTGGAATACTCCAACATCTTCTCGTGCACATCATCCACCAATGCAAAAATTACCAAATTGAAACATTGCATGATGTTGTTTGGAGTGAAGTAAAGCTCATCGGCGTTTATGAAGCTTTTATGGAGGGAGGTAACCGCGTAGTTTCTTACCTCTTCTCGTCTCGCTAAACTCGTCTTCCTCAAAACTTCTCCAACCTTCACGAACAGATTCATTGACATGTTCGTGGTTCCGAGAGCTTTCGTGTTATCATCAATGGACGCCGAATTGTTTATGCTCGAATTACTCCCCGGATCCGAGTAACCGTTTCTCGACCACTCGACTATCAGTTTCACCGAATCCGCCATTAAATCCATCAGCTTCATGTTCTTATCCACCGGACTGTTTCTCAACGCGACAAATCCAAACGCACAATCGATACAAGATGGATAATTTGTAACTGAAATCCCCGAACCATCTGCCATTAGGTTTATTAGCGCTTTGACACCACGTTCATAACTCTCCGGATGTCGACCTGTGATTGACAACAAATGAAGAACAGTTTTCCACCCTAATTGAGACAATAAATTCCCTGAATACTTGTTTAAAATCTTCGTAACCGATTGGATTATGAAATCGTTACACGTATCGAGAATCTCGCGTTCCAATTTCCACATCATGTTTATCGATTTGAAAATAAGTTCTTCAGCAACCTTTTCATTCGACCTTGACGCAAGAAGCTTCAAGCAGATTCTTATCAGCGCAACAATGGCTTTTTCTGCAAACGGAATCGGTGAAAAACTCGGCAATTGAACGACAGTGAGAAGATACTCATTATAAGTCGGCCAGAATTGTGTAAGCCGGTGGACATTACAAGACGCCATCGCTTGAATCAAATCCCAACAAAACTGAACCGTTTCCTCTTCTTCCACCGGAGTACTAAACTTCTGCCCTTTTCCGGCTGCCGCAAAAATCAACGACCGGCCAAGGTTTAGCAACGGATCGAGCGGTAATGTCGAACTCTTACTGAAAATACTTCCGATTTGACATTGTTGAATAACTTTCAAATTCTGTTCGAATTCACTTATCCCAAGGTTTAAAGACTCTTCTAGATTCTCCATTGATAAACAATGAGATATCGCCGCCATTAAATTAGAGGTGTTGATCTTTCCCGTTTGATCTTTGCTAATCACCGATTCCGATTCCCCCCGTCTATGCAGGCGGCCATTGGCGGTAGAACTCCCGACATCGACCACCGATTGTGGCAACAATTTAAGCTTTTTTAATTTCAATAAACAATCAATAATACTCCTCCATCCTCCCCTAATTGAATTCTTGAAATTATTAGCGACAGTGAAAACTGCAAGTGTCGCCATTCTTGGCTTCAAATCATGCCCAAATGAAAACAAAGTTTCTTCAGCTGAAGCATACGGATTCAACAAAGTTGTAAATTTACAAAACGAAGATATAAGTTCATCTAAAGTATCTTCAAGTCCATATTGACAAATCCTCGCAATTGCAAATAATCCTTCAATGCATTCATGAATAATTTCTTCATCTTCAGCATGTTCAAAAATGGCGGAAAGTGTCGCGACAGATGGGCCCGCAATTACCGCAAACATATCTCTCCCGATCCTCCGATCGAATCCACACTTGATATACGGTAGGATTAAGTTCGATTTGTTTATGAGTTGGATCCAACGACTAGGATTCATCTCGATCGGGGAACCGGTTTGACCAAAGATCGTGATCGCTTTACTCGCGATCGATTGGAAAAGATCTGATAGGTATTCGCGCGGGAGATCATTGCCTCCATTTATCGCGCGATTATTTCTTATAAATTCATCTTCGGTCATTTTCTTTTTGACTTGCGGGTTATGTTGATCGGTGTTCAACATGATCACCGAATAACATAATATGAAAACCGCGTCTTTACTCACAAAAATTTCCGATGATTGTTGATTGTAAAAACGTTCGGAAAATGCTTCAAGAATTCTATGGATCTTTTGCGATTCCCCCGGGAGTCGAAATGTTTCTAGATATGTTCGTAAAGCAGTGTCGAGTACCAACCCGGTTAACTCGAATGACTCGGTGAATTCTTTGAGCACTTTGAGATTAAACTCACCCGGGTCACCAAGAAAGTCACCGATTTTGACTTTATCAAGGCCCGGAGTGTACCGGAAAAACATAGCGTAGCCTCTCGGGTCGGGGGAATCGGAAATTAGCTTTGATATTTTCAAATAATCCAACCCTTTTTTATCATCGCGATTGAAATGACTTCCTGCGATCATTATCTTTCTTTTTTGCGCCTTTCTGAGTCGTACCGAGTCAATCCATGTTTCCGAATCGGTACCTTCCATCGGTGTTTCCTCCCAAAACGGTTTATAATCGGTAATCTCAACCGGGTATGTGCCTGTACCCCAGTCGGTTTGTTTATCCACAAAATCGGCGATATTATGGATTAAAACCATAAGCCCTTCAAAAGATTGAAATTGTAAGCTCGTGGGAGCGGTCCCGCCCGATAAAAACGCATGTTTGCAAAGAGTTTTTCCGATTTCTTCGAAAATATTGTTAAACATCGGATCACAATCGTAATTTATGTAGGCTTCGATTATGAAAGTTGGTTGTCTACAAAAGTTTATAATCCCTTCGATTGCGAGTTCTTGGAGTTGAATTGAGTAACCTTGGTTTGCGGTTTTGAATAAAACGAATAGAAAGAATGCCTCGAGCTGTAAACGGATCGATTTCCGGTGGAAATAATAGATGTTGAAAACCGTACTGCAAATCATCGAGAACACAAGCGGGCTTGAAGACGTTCCGTAATGGATTAAATGATGGAAAAGATCATCTTTAACCATTCGTAATAGCTTCTTGTGTTTTCCGATTCCGTCCCCACTCAATTCCAACGCCGAGTTGATTAACACAAGCGCGAAAACTTGCACGTCTTCGTCCGCAGTTAACGACGGAGACCCGTCGGAATCGACGATTCCTACGACGTTAAGTAGCGAACAAAGGAAATGAAATATGTCAACCGCGCACCGGATTCCAAACCCGGTTTCATCCGTCGCGTCTTCAGTATCCGATTCTGAATTCTCCCAATCCCCAACTTCAATCTCCAAGAGCCGCGAAAATATAATTTGTATCAAATCATGCATTGTATGGCGGGCGGTTCTTTGTAAGAGATCACCTTGGTTGGCTGCCTGCTGAACAACTTGAAAACACGTGTTGACGATCGTGCACACTGCATGATCATTAAGGAGCACGGAGGCGGCATGGCGCATCACCGCCGCTAAAACCTGCAAAATCCTCATCATCACGGCGGCTTCTGTCACCGGATGTGTCTTTTCGAGGCGGCATCCGGTGACTGCCATGACGACGTTTGACACTGCTTCATGAGCTCCTGGTGTTTTCTTGTCAAACATATCGAGTTTTAGCATCTTTAAAATGGAAGAGAGGGCGACTGCGGTGGCGGCGGCGGGGACATCGTCAGAGGAGATGACGTCGAGAAACGGGGAGAGGTAGATTGACGGATCAACCGCCCGCCATGATTGGCGGGGATTGAAGATTAGTGATCTTAATGATTTTAAAGAACTCAATATATTTGAATCCAAGGCGTCGTCTAGGTAAATATACGAGGATGGGTCAGATCTGCGGCGGATTACTGCTAGAACTGCCCCGACCTCTGTATTTAACATACATGAGATTCCCAACTCTTTTGATTTTCTGATTTTGATTGTTTTGTCATCTTCCTCGTCCTCGTCATCTTCCTCATCATCGTCATCATCTTCGTCATCGTCTTCCTCCTCTTCCTCCACCTCCTCTTCTTCTTCGTTTTGTTTCCCCATTTAATTCACCGATTTGAATAGTGACGAAATCTCTTTTGCAATGGGAGCATATGAAATTACCATTTTTTTTGTAAAGATTTACTCTGTTGAAGTGAGGATAATGTGTGAAGGACAGGGTTAATTTGGGAATTTAGTATGTTAAACTAGGTGTAAAACGAAGAAAGAAAGATGGGGGTGGTGGTGTGAGGTAAAACAAGAGGATGAACCGAATGGTAGTACCTAAAATTACTCTTTATATTTTGGTTCTCAATGGCTATAATTCAATTTTTGAATATTTCTACCTCTATTTTCTCACTTCTAAAATTATATATATATATATATATATATATATATATATATATATATATTATATATATATATATATATATATATAATCCTTTTAACAAACATATAATCACTAAACCAAAAACCACCAAGCGGCATGTTATTCGATGATATCACTTTGGCATGTTATTCGATGATATCACTTTATTGCATACCATAATACAAAAAAAAATATTATTCTAATAATACATTACTTGACAATAATGATGAAGATAATTATTTGATCAAATAATGGTAAATTTACATGTAAAATTTACCATTATTTGATCAATAGGCTATTTCCGAAAAGCCTAGAGCCATGGGGAATCATATATGGGCGTGGCTACGGTTTTAATGTGAAGATAATGATCAAGACCCTCGATTCCCGATTCTTTTCCAAACCCACTCATTTTATACCCTCCATGAGGGGCATCTCTGTCAAGTGCTAGAAAACAATTGACCCACACTGCACCTGCTCGAATCGATCTCGACATTGTGTTTGCAACGTCGATATTCTTTGTCATTACGCCTGCTGCGAGCCCGTATTTTGTGGCATTTGCTCTCTTGATCACTTCTTCAATAGTCCTGTATTATTCATCATTAAGATATATGTTGTAAGTAAACCTAGGTTTAATAACCGTTAATCTTTATATTGTAGGGTGTAAATATGTAAAAGTGGAAAGTTTGGTGGTTGAAATAAGAGAAATGGAACTTTAAGGTGAATGTATCTATCTAGAAAAAAAAACTTACTTGAACTTGAGAACGGAGATAACGGGGCCAAATATTTCTTCCTTCGCTATGATCATATCATCCTTCAAAACCAAACACCAAAATGTAAACGCAATTAATAACCGTAACGTGTTGGCTGAAAAAACTACACTTTTAGCTTAATATGAGTTATTTTATTAATAGATTATCTCAAATAGTTTATCAACAAGCTAGTTTATAAGCTATGATAAACTATTTTGTTTTTTTTTTGGGTTTAATAAAACACCAAATTACAATAAGCTAATTTATACGCGACAAACAGTCTAATTATATTTGCACAATAAAACTTATTATATCCACATACCGTAACATCTATAAATATAGTTGGCTCGATATAATATCCTTTCTTTCCAAAAGGTCGACCCCCGGTCAACAAAGTCGCACCTTCCTTCTTGCCATGCTCAATCAATGAAAGTACTTTCTCATATTGTTGTTTATTGTTCTACACAAGGCTCAAATTAACATTGTGTAAATCAATGTGACATATGAGAGCTATGAATAATTAAGTTTGAAATCCATAATTTTGTTATACCTGAGGTCCATGACGAGTTGTCGGATCAAAAAGGTCTCCAATCGTCCAATCTTTCGTCATTTCTGCCAACTTATTAACAAACACATCATGAATTCCTTCTTGAACAAAAACACGAGATCCTGCCACACATATTTCTCCCTGTATGTAAACCGAGTTATTTGTTGCCTTTTATATAACTTTTTACAAACATGGCGTCATTTAATTACTTTTTTTTTTCTCAAACTTTGTGATTTTCTATAATATTTTAAAACAAAATTTATTATTGAAACAAAAAGAAACATGGCCTTAGAATATACCAATAAAGAAGGTTGAATTATATATATACTTTGTTAATGAAATTTCCATAAATAGCAAGATCAATGGCTTTATCAAAATCAGCATCATCGAACACTATGAAAGGCGATTTCCCTCCTAGTTCTAGCAACACAGGCTTTAGATTGCTTGTCGCAGCAGCTTGCATTACTAGACGCCCAACTTCCATGGACCCTGTAAAACTAACCTGGATTCATCACATCACAAAAAGAGAGATCCGTTAACAAAATATAATTTTAAACGTTCTCTTTTGTATATTACCCCATATTTTTTCTTTTTTCTTTTTTCTTTTTGGTTGTTTGTTTAACTATTAACGTTTTATTGTTAGTATCATTTTTATCCAATAATTTAAGGTTTGTAAATTGTATTAAAAGTGTCATTTTTACCTCCATTTGGAAAAAAAATTCGGTCTTTATAGCTTGTGAACACAACATATAAGTATTACGAGTTAAAAAAATGACAAAGAGATAGGAATAACCGTGTCAATGTCCATATGGGAGCTTATAGCAGCACCAGCGGTTTCTCCAAAACCATTGACAACGTTAATCACACCATCGGGAATACCCGCCTACATCAAGAAATTAAATCAAAGACATGAAAACATAAACGAATCAAAATAAATCTCCAAACTAACTTCCATTTTAAGTAATTTATAAATCATTCATTCATTTTTGTTCACATTGAGGTTGTAGTAAAGGGAAATCTAAGGGAAAGTCCCAAACTTTTGGGAAAAGTTTCAAATTTTTTTTTTTTAACAGAAGTCCTATTATTTTGAAAAAACGATATAATCTGTCATTTGTTGTTCAAATATAAAAAATGACTTTTACGTGAATTTAGGCAAAATGTTAAATAATCGGGACTTTTCTGTTCAAAAAAACTTTTAGGACTTTATTGAAACTTTTCCCAAAAGTTTGGGACTTTTCTCTAGATTTCCCTTGTAGTAAACAAAAAGACTTAACGTACCAATTTAGACAAGTGAGCGTAAAAGAGAGCCGAAAGAGGTGTTTGTTCAGACGGCTTGACCACCATGGTGCACCCCACGGCTAAAGCCGGTGCAACCTTCATGGCAAACCCTTGAGAAGGGAAGTTCCAAGGAATGATGTGTCCCACAACCCCAATGGGTTCACGCAATGTGTAAGCATGAATACTTGTATTCATTTTAAGCGTTGTTCCATGAATTTTATCTGCTGCACCTGCATAGTAGCGAAATAGCTCTACAACAGTTGGGATTTCAAAGTACCTAGACAAACTAAAGGGTTTTCCACCGTCGATCACATCTAAGGTTGCTAATTCTTCACCATTTTCTTCGATCAAGTTTGCGAATTTCAACAGTATCTTTCGTCGTGCCTGATCAAATGAAAAAAAAATTAACAGTTATATGATACAATTTATTGGTCGATTGTTTAATTAGATTGTTATTGATACACATTAATCAAATTTGGAGTGAAATGGAGAAATATGATGGAACAAAAACAAATTTAGTTTGTTCAAAACATAACATTTAAAGAATTCCTCAAGAATAGTGATTTATTATTCCGTAACCAAATTAAGTATAGAACAAATTACTGAAATCGTACCTATGGTTTGGCTAAAATTACGCGTTTGGTCCAAACATTTTTTTTGCACTCGGACCGTCCTCAAAGTATGATTTTATTGCGTTTTTCGTCCCTCGCACACTTGAAAAGACTATATTACCCTTTGTCTTTTCTTTTTCAGTTTTTATATTATTTATTAATTAAAAAAGTAAATAAATAAATATATGGCCCCAACACATACACTCCTCCATTCCCTTCCCCTCCACCCTTCCCCTCCATCAACCTCTGATCAACCACCAACATAACCTCCGACAGCACCTCCGTTAACCTCCCAACATCACCACCATTCACCTCAGAAAACCACCACGAGTCACCACACAAAATCAATTGAATTTGAACAAAAAAAAACAAGCAAACTTCATGTAATCACAATCAAAACCTGAAATCCAACCAAAAAAAACCTGTAACTTATAACCAAAATCAAAATCAAACAAGAAATCATGAACAACTAACTGTTCGATGAATCAATGAAAATTTAATCCTCCATCTGAAAACACTAACATCGACCTCTAATTCGTCGATCTGTGTAATTTGATTTCATCAACAGTTCATCAATTAACTGAGTGTCGACTACTGATGAATCTCGGTCTCGGTTAATAAACTCCTCCGGTCATATCCCGTCCCCAGAAAAGCTGAAAAGGCGAAGGATGCTCTGGTCATATCCGTTAACTACACATAAGAAATTTCAAAGAAGAAAGTCCAAGCGTAACGACTTTGGTCGAAGAACTGGCGATTTTCAGAAGCGATGATGGTGGTGGCTTGATTCACATAAGGCGACGGTGGTGGTGCCTCCTATTTTAGAAAATCATCTGTTTTAGTAACATTATGGTGGTGATGCCTCTAATTTCAATAAGACGATGATGATGGTGGGAGATTTAAGATACAAGTTCAGTGAAGATATCCGATTTGGGTTCCAGAGCTTATATTGCATTGCAGATCTTCGATTTGAGTCCAAGATCTTGTATTGCAGATCTTCGATTTTCGATTTAAGATCTTCGTCGGCAATGCAATGGAGGAACGAGAGGGAAAAAGCACAGTAAGGGTGAATGTTAGGTTACTCATGAGGGTTTACCAATTTAGGGGGAAGAGATGATAGTGGCGGCTGGCGGATGATGACGTGTGGTGTTCACCGAATTTCTGGTCTCGCCGGAGATGGCGATGATTTAGGGGGTGAGTAAAGGAGTGGTGATGAATGGCCAGTAAATTGGAAGAGTCTTGAACATGTGAGAAGACAAAGGGTGGGTGTGGGCCCAATCTGTTTTTTTATTAAGAAATATAAAAGAAATAATAAAAATAAGTAAAAAATAAATTTGAGAGGGCAATATAGTCCTTTCAGGTCGGATAGGGATGAAAAACGCAATAAAATCATACTTTGAGGACGGTCCGAGTGCAAAAAAAATATTAGGGACCAAACGCGTAATTTTAGCCAAACCGTAGGGACGATTTCAGTAATTTGTTCTTAAGTATAATAGAATGAATTACCAATCCTTTACATAAGTAGCCAAGTCCAGTGGCAAATCTGGAACCAAAAACCACATGGTTCCTTATGTGATAAAACTGAAATAGATATGTCTAAAAATAGGTAGGTTTTTTAGCAAAAATGAAATAGGTCCTTCATATTTTCTATATATATTTGTAGTAATTAAAAAAAAGGTAGGTCCTAGGACCTACCTTCTACACACTTAGCTACGTCCCTGGCCAAATCAAATTCAAATGATAAATATGATTGATTGACAGTTAAGTCAAATTCAAAAACTACATGTTTGTCATCCACACTAGAAAGGTTACCAAGAGAGGCACTATTTTCACATTGATTGGCATAAGGTTTTCATCATGGGAGGAACTCTTTCAATATAATGAGCATCTTTCATTGGTTATCATTTATGACCTTTGTTGGGTTGTTTGATATATCATATAGTAACAATCAAATTATGGTGTTCTTAGTGCATCTAATTCCATTATAACAATTGCCTTCGAAGCATAATAGATCAAAACAGCACACCACTTGTCCAAATGCAATGCAAACTCCTCTTTTTAATTTGATTCTCATTTAGAGTAAGCAACACATAATACCTCTTGTTAGTGATTAGGGTTTAAGCTTAAAACCTTTAGGGATTATGTTAAGCCACTTTTATATATCTTTATACCTTAATAGGCATTACCTAAAATGCTGAATTTTAAGAGGTACAACTCTTAAATCATCATATACAACAGCTTTATGCATTCCAAAAAAATCAGATCTTATCCCGTCAATATATATATGAAAAAGTCAAATCGCATCGTTAAAATCGAAAGACTCATTCTAATCGATTGCCAGATTCTCAACAGAGTGAACGAGTATTCATGGTGCCAACAGAATCGGTCAACACGTGATACAATTTATATAGCATCTTCACCTAATTCCAAATACCACCTCCAACAAATTCCAGCACCATGACCTCCACCATCCTCCGCCCTCCTCCGTATACGTCTCCATCATCGAACCCGCACAACAAGGCTAAGCAATAAACACATCAGGGTTGCTCTGGTTTGATGAAGATGGACACAAATCGGTCTAAAACCCTAGCACCCACTTCAAACTTACGAGCCTTCTCTTCTTTCTCTATCCCCTCATCTTTCCCTCTCTAAAATAAGGGCAAAGGTAAGAGCAATGAAATTTTTTACATCCTAGAGCTCCTATCGGTAAATTGATGTCCCTTCCCCGCCTATGTTCTTGTATATGTGTTTTTGATCGGTTTAAGTTTTGGCACAATCGGTTTTCTTAACTATGAGGTCATATGTGTTGCAGGTTTTATTCACCTACCACTAATCGATAACCATAGCGTCTAACCTTAATTTCGAGGTTCGATTATAGGTTTTCTAATTAAAGGTTCGATTTCAAGTTTTTCTGATTTGAATGCACTTTTGAAGGTATGCGAATTCCCCTCTACAAGTGGTTTGAATATAAGTTCATTACTTGAGAATGCTAAATGTTACATAGCTTTAGCCTTCACCTCTATGCTTTACTGCTACCTCCATTCTCGATTTATTACCATCGAGAGTTTTCCTTATTTTTATTTATTGAATCGATTAACCCAGTGGGTATTTTTCAAAACCGTTGATTTCCCTAACGCCTTCTTTCTCTGCATAATCAAAAATCACCATTAATGGAAACCCTTAATTTCTTCATTCCTCTGTTTACCTATATAATCTAATGTAGACTTCTTTTGTTTCAGCGTTTATTGGAAAAAGAATGGCCCTTGCTGCTATTGGCATGTATTTACTCGCCAATTCTTATAATTATTTTTCAATGGTTTTGGGTTGCTTCGATTTGTTGACAGATTTAGTTTGTTGCTTCCATTTAAAGCTACAGATCAATGAAGCTTCGTCATCACAACTCACCACCACCTGGTACTCTTTTTCTTCTTCTTTGTCTCTCTCTAAGAAACCACCAAGACCAGTCACCCACCACACCACCTCTCTAGGGTCTATCATAATAAAATCACTCTCACACGCCTAGAACTAAATACACACATCTGGTTTTGTACGATTTTCCTTTTTTTGTTTTCACAAAGCCCTGATTGAAACTGTAGCAGTAAACTGAAAACCAAACGATAAATTGAAACCCTATTGGATTGATTCATATGGTTGAGTAATGCTTGGCTTATGACAGAGGAACAGTGCATTGTCACTAGGTTACAACACAAGGCTTTCATAATACAACATCATACTCATTTAAAATTTATCAAAGCAGAGAGCTGTGAACGATATTGCAAGTCATTGAAGGAAATCTGTAATCAGCATAAGCTATGGTAATATCGATGGCAAAGGTATCATTTATAATTGTTATTGTAAGATATTTCAAGTTTAAACATGCTCACGACATACACTCAAACTTAACAAAGGCTTGGTAAACAAGGTCATTGATGAAGCTCATAAACAAGGTTTAATCCTTTGTTTTTAATGAAGTCTGTGCACTACGCTTCAATATCATGGATGAAGCTCATAAACGTTGTGACATCACCTAATTTTGTGTCCGAACAAAAATATTAAATTGAGATTTAAACTCATAAATCGTAACATTAAGCTTTTGTTACAACCTGACCATTATAGATCAAAACATTTATCTTTCACATGAGGTTTTTATTATTTGGAGTGAAAATATAGTATCATTCTGGAATCTGGACCAGAAGTTCATATTTAAAATATTAAGCTTCATTTTTTAGGAGCAAATTCCCAAATAGTTGTAGTATGATTTCATTAATTTTTCATCATTTTCTGTCTTTGTATTGTTTTCATTTTATTTATAAAAAATTATTTGCATATTTTGAATTAGGGCCTTTTGTGTAATATACTATTAATTTTCTTTTGCTTGCCTTTCGTGTATATGATGGTATTTGGACCAATATGGAAATCCAAATCATCCAGGTAAGAAGTAACTTTTGCTTTAACTACACTTTACTTTTATCATTTGTCTTCTGGTTGCTTGCAACCTTTTGCATAAACTGATGAAATATTGATAGGTGTACAAAAAGAACTTGGCAGTAGGGTTCAAGAAATAGAAATGCATTTTGCCTAAATGCCCAATCATATCAATGCACTTCAAATTTTACTCATATTAGCAAAGTACTCATTAGGTTGCTATTTTTAGTGTATTTCATATGTACAATAAACGAATTGCATTGACTAATCTTTTTTTTTTCTATCTTATTTTCAAGATATGTAGTTGTTGATGTACTATTGCCGACATGGTGTAGAGAAAGAAGAAGATGGATTTGTACAAATATGAAAACATTCAGATTGTAACCTCCCACACTCCTCAAACGGTAAGTTTTGTAGTGTGTCAATTGATTTAAATAAGAATGTATTCATGTAATTAGTAACGGAAAGAATGTATTATTGTGTTTAATTGTTACAATGGCATATCATAATAAGAAGTATGAGGGTTGTTAACCATGATTTTATGAATTATGTGGCATGGGTTAGCAAGGAGTATGAAATTTAGGCAAGATGTTATGGGCGGAGGTAGGCAGATGTAGCAACAACTTTGATGCATTTGAATGGTCATCAAATCATTACGAGTGGCTTACTCTCTAGCACTGTCAATGTTTAGTTAAAAATTGAATTTACCATAAAAGATTCTTAGTTATTAAAAGCTTAAAAGCGATTTTGTAAAATTTGATAATTTCAATTTTTCGAACTTTACGGAAGAAAGTTTGATAATGGAACGTTGAATTACTCCTCATATCATCATAATAATAAAACGGCGACCATGGAATTACTCCTTATATCATCCTAATAATATTTTTTATTTGATAGTCTTTTCTTCCTATCTTACACCTTATTTTTGTACATAGTATATTATGATTATTTGATGAAATGACAACTAATTTTACCGATCCACATTTAAACTTGAAAAAATTTCATTTTAAAGACGATTATGATTATGCACTGTAGTTCAATCACATTCAAATGCTAGGCTTTTAATATATGTAATCTTATGGATTAAAAATTTTATAAATTTTTTTTTATAAAAATTACCTAAAACCTAATTTAGCACATATTAAGGTTTCAAAAGCATTTAAATTAGTGATATTAATAACTAAAAAGTATATCATATTCAAACCCCACTTTTATTAATAAAAATGTTTACTAAAAAATATTAATCTAAAAACATTTCCTAAAAACTAAGTTAGCATGTTAAAGTATTCAAAAGAAACTAATTAATAACATTTTGGTAGTTTTTTTACACTTTGTTTTTTGTAATTCAAATAAATTAAGAATATATTTTTTTGTTTTTTTTAATTTATATTTTTACAAGTTTAAAAGTAAATGATTGTCCATACATTCTATGTTCACTTCCCAAAACAGGCAATCAAACGAACATAAATTGTGCTCACAGTAAAAATATCTTTAATTTCATTGTGTGTTTCTTACATAAATGGTCTCACTGTTTTCCTTATTCTTGGTTTTTGTCCTTTTTTTGTACATGTATAGTCTAGATATTTTTCATTATTCATGGTTTTTGTATCATTTTTTTACTTACATATATATAGTCTACCTGCACTACAAGGAAAAAGGCAATTAGCGGCGACAAAAGTCGCCGCTAAAGGGTTTCATTGTCGCCGGTAATGGTAATAGCGGCGACGTGTCGCCGGTAATAAGCCGCCGCTACTGTTCCGTCGCTATTGATCAATTTGTCGCTGCTAAAGAAAATAGTCGCCGCTAAAGAGTTTAATCGCCGCTAATGATGAAGTCGCCGCTAAAAGTCGGTGTCGCCGCTATTGGTGTCGCCGTTAAAGGCTGTATTTCTTGTAGTGCTGGTTTTCATCCTGAAGTTTTTCTTGTTCTCTAAAACTAATTTCTAAAAAAACTATTCATACCCGCTTTGCGCCGGTAACGGCTAGTCTATTTATATGAGGTTTCTCCCTCACTATTAACACGCAATCTATTTTATAACATAGTATCAGAGCTCCAGGTTAAAACGCTACTGTTGACTACAACCCCCAACCGCCTTCCTCCACCTCCAACTCCAACGACCTTCTCTTATAATCGTTGAGGTACCTTCATTATGCTTAAATATTTTTCCCTTTCATCTTTCTCCTCCAAAATAATAATACAACCGTTGACACTAAACCATAGCTCCTTCATCGGATTCTTCTACCGCGTTGTCTATTTTTGCCTTCTCGGATGACCTCTTCTTCTTCGGATCTCTTTTCCGAGTCAGCCTCTTCTGAGGTTGCCGTTGCCTCCCTCTGATGGCACCTCCTCCGTCGGACAACCACTGATATGCAGTCGTCTCCATCTCCCTCTATCAACAATGCAGTCGTCGTTCTCGTTGGAATTATCTCCATCCTTCGCAGCTCGAACCCTTTTCTCTCTCGTTGTCTTTCTTCGGACTCCTCTTCCGTAGGCTCCATGATCGTTGTTGTTGCCACTAACTCTCTCTTCTTCTACAAGGGAACCGTCTCTAGCCTCCGTTTCTTCTCTCTTCTTTTCCGTTGAGCAAACATTGATAGCCGCCATCGTTAGAGCTCTGTCACTGTTGTTGTCCTCATCTATACTGTCGTTGTCCTCATCTATGTTTTTCCTTTTATGTTTTGTTATTTTGCTTTTTTTTTTCAGCTTAATCGTCTCCTGCTGATCAAAATGTATGAGAGGGGGGGGGGGATGTTAGTGATTAGAGTTTAGGCCCAACACATTTAGGGTTTAGGTTAAGCCATTATTATATCTCTACTTATATGACCCTCACTATTAATAAGCAGTCTATTTTATAACACCTCTCTTATTCCCCATAACGGTTATAAACTTATTCTCCATAACATATATTACATAACTCCAATCTGAAATCATGACATTACAAGCAACCATGGGTGAGTCACTTATGAGCTAGGGTAGGTCCAGGCCCACCCTCAAAATTTCATTGTTTTTTTTTGCTTTTATATATATATATATATATATATATATATATATATATATATATTCTAATTATTTATAAGGAACACCTTAAAAAAATTCTGGCTTCACCCCTGCAAGCAACCATATCTATGTGACGTTTCATGGAACACCCTGTTGGCATATCTCAAATCTTTACTCTTTTTCATATGACTATGGATAATCATCCCATTCCTTGGATAGAAAAATCTCTCCGGTTATTCTCTTTCTAAGCGAAGCGGAGGAGAAGAATATCGAAGCGAAAGAGAACAGTAACAAGCATAAGTGGGAACAATCTTGCAACCATATATTCTCAGGAGTTTGGCGGTGTTTTACTTTAGCCAAAACCACAACGCTTTAGAGGTTTATACCTATGTTTGAATGCATAGCAACCATATATTCTCTAACCCCTTATATATTACGAACTTAATTGGTCATACATTTTAAAAAATACTTTTGTCTTTATTAGCAATATAATTTCTTTCTGTTTATGTATGACTTTTAATTCTTAAAACCTAACTAAACATAATAATCAACTATAAAAACTAATTTCGTTATTTTGTCTATTATACATTTTATTTTATTTCATTTCATGATAATTTAAGTAGAAAAATATTGATATCTAACTGTCACTATATCATAATACCATCTGACAATATACATGTATGCAATATGCACAACATACCTCGCCAGACAAACGAGGCCAGGGTCCATTGTCGAAAGCGTTACGGGCGGCTTTGACAGCCAAATCAACATCTTCCTTTGTTCCTTCAGCCACTCTAGTTATTATTTCTTCAGTCGTTGGATTTGTTGTCTCAAATGTTTTTCCTATACGTAGTTTCAACTGAGGTTAAAAACACATAAAAAATCATTTAAACATGTCTAACCATGATTGCATACCTAAAAGGGAATCAACAAATTGGCCATTGATGAAAAGCTTGGTGAACTTGATCTCATTGGTGGCTCCATTACTTTTGGAACTCATTTCTCTCCCTTTTTTTGTTCTTTCAAATGTTGACTTGATATGAGGTATATATAGGCCTTCGTTAGTCATATCATTATGGACGAGTAGCACAAAACAGTATTTTCTAGATTCATTTAAAAGGGCATAAATTTATTTGAAAGTTTTTCCGATTGTTGGTTTAGAAGATAAATAGTAATGAATAAATATATGTAAATATCAACGTTATTAGATAACTGTAAATTTATTTATAAAAAAAAAAACATGTTAATATGGATTTTTAAACGGTCAAATATTTCTCACAACTTTTTTTTTTTAATACCTATAACTATTAGGTTGTAGCAAAAAGGACACCTTTCTATAAGTCAAAATGTGTATACGTTCTTTTTGTTGTAATTAATTTTTGTTGTAGTAGTTTTACAATTAACACCCACGACATTGAATGTGTGTGATACTGATATCAGGCTACTATAGTTACCTAGCAAGCTGAGACGATTTGTGGTGGGTTGGATTAGGATGATTATATATTTATAGCCATTGTGCAACTCGTATTTGACAATTTTTTAAAAAATTTCTAGAAGGTATCTTATCACATGTGAAAATACGTTTATTGAGTATGGTTGGAGAAATTACATACATATAAAACATAAAAAATGACTTATATTATTATCACTGTCTTCAAGGAATTATTGCCCTTTGATAGTTTGTAGCGTCTGGAGCCATGAATTTGGTCATGGAGGTATACACGTATGGTATACACATATTCTAAATTCAAAATAGTGTTTATAAAAAGTTGTGAAATATTTAAAGTTGTCTATCCTAAAAACATGAATAAAAAAATGACAACGGGATCCACCGAATCTTTATTTGTTATAATCGGTGGATTATGTGTTATCGAAAATATGTAAAAATGCGTCATACACGATGAAAATAGACAAACAATAGTTTATAATTTGATTATACATGCTGCCCTGCAAACTTATTTTTGATACATTATTCCGGAAAAGAAAAAAAAAAACAATTATTAAAAATTAAAACTAAGCATAGCTGTACCTTATGTTTTTTTAATAAAAAAGTTCGGCAATTACAAGGATAAATAACAAGGCTAATGGTCATTAACTCATTATAAGGATTAAGGATAAACATACTCAAGAGTTATTTTGGTCCAAATAATAATATTTTTTGAATAAAGAGATTATTTTATAGAAATGAAATTCGAAGGAATTATAATAAGAGGAAAGGAATTGAGTATACTTTCTTTATGACATTGTAAAGAAGTTTTGAAACGTTTTTATACTTTCTAAAATATGTTATAAAATATTTTTGAAACTTTTTTTTTATATTTTGTAAAAAAAAAGTTAAAGAAATTAGAAAAGGTGAAAAAAATGTTTTGAAAAACATTTAGAAAAAGTTGTGTGAATGTTTTATGAAAAAAAAAAAAGAGCTCGAAGAAATTATATAAAAGAAAGTTCAAAATATTTAGCAATATTTCCATGTAAAAAATTGTATCAAAGTATAGTTTTTTTAATCCAAATTTAAAAAAAAAAAGGTAAAACAATATATATATATATATATATATATATATATATATATATATATATCTATATATATATATATATAAAGTTTTAAAAAGCTTTAAGAACGTTATAAATTTATTTTTTCTTTTTTATTTTTCAGTAACTTAATTATCAACACTTATACTTATATGGCTGAATGGTGACGTTTTTGTAACTTGGATGGTGAATTAAATCAAAAGTCTTTTGTAAAAATAAACATACGTGGAGTAGTAGGTTACAAGTGAAGTCAAAAAGTAAGTTTTAGTGGCTTAATTCACACGATTTAGACTTAGATGACTAAATGGTGATATTCGTGAATTTTGATGGTCAATTAAGTCAAAAATCCAAATATAAGTTGTAACACCGGTACTTTTAATATAACAAAATGCTATGGTTTTGAAAAACTGAAATCATAATCATCAAAAAGTGGTCTCATAAAAACCAATTCAATTTACTTTTGTTTCAAAAATATCATATGGGTGTGTGAGTGATAACATGTGGAACCATAGTAAAGCACCAATTATATGTACAAAATAGAAACTAAGTCTAATCTCTTCAAAAGTTCAATGTTAATCTTCACATTCCCTAATTCCTTGCGTCTAATCTTGGAAAACATGACATTAAATAAATATATACGTAAGATAATAATGTCTCGTGAGTCATATGAGTTTGGACCAAAACATTTACAAAATTTGACAAAATATCGCTTTCATACACTTTAAAACAATTTCACGACTATACAATGCATGTCATCACACATTGCAAATTTACGGGTTCCGTCCCGTTTCCATATTCCTTTTCATTACACTTGCTTTTGTAATACGGTGTGGACCTGATCACCCTATGTGACCTTAGTGACTGACCGCCACATGAAAACAAATTTTCCTGTTATGGCCCCATCATTCGGTACTCCTACTTTGCCAGGGGAGGTACCCTTCCACCAAAGTCTCATTAGTCCCCTTGCAAACTAATGGGCTAGTCGACACTTACATTAATTTAAATTTATGCAATTCTTTCAATGATGCATAATCACACTTTTCTTTTCAAGAATCGATCACACTATGTCATTCTTTTGTAAATAAGTCATAATAATAACATTGAGCAAATTTCTCATAAAACATGTATAAATTAAATCATTCACCATAATTCATATCATTTTCAAAATCATATAAACATAAACATGTACACAATTAAACGTTAAACCAAGTTCTTCATTCATTAAGTCATGTATCTAGAGCTTAAAAGCTCTATAAAATCCACCTTATTATTTAGTGAAGACTAACTTTCACTTGGATTTTATCCTTCGCTTGTTGCCTCTTGGATCAATAGTCTTTTGAATCATATTCAACCCATATAGTAAGCTCTTATTAGCATGAATCATTCCATAATGAGATTAATCCAAATCCATATCCAAAATGATCATTCACTTGATCACATAAATTTCTTATTTCAACTTTTATGCTCAAAATCAATTAAGCTCCATGAATATCTCATATATCTCATATATGCAACTTAATTCATTAAGTCATAAGCTAAATTTTCTTTTTATCACAAATCACCCGGTTGGGTTTGAGATCACCTATGTCAAATTCAAGAAACTAACCATGGATTTGATATATAAAGTTTGAAAATCATGTTCATAATACTCATTACACCATTATATTAAGAGTTTATGATTAAAAAATAAGAGTTCTAGAATCTCTTCCAACATCCACCATGGATCATCATATGAGTTTAGGGAACGAGAAGGAAGTTGATACATTGACTCATTAGTAGTTATTTGTTTCTTGCTCCTCCTTTGCAATCCCTTGGTTGTAGCTTCAATCTTGAGTTCAACCCACAAAAATTGTCCCTTTCTTTATCTCTCACCTGAGTGATGTGAGAGGAAAATGACCGAACTTCAACATGATAAAGATCAATTCTAACATCCAATTACACATCGTGCAATCTACATGTACACATCACGTTATCTAATGTGGGTGTCATATTCTCATAATCCTAGACCAACCTTGTACTTTTAAACACGTCGCGTAATACCTATTTTAGTTCATTGCCCATTTTTGTAATAGCAATTTAATCACCATTAGGTCAAAATATCTTCTACATGTTGCGTAACTCCAAGATCACGCATCGCATAAACTAGTATATAGTTTTAGTACTTTACAAAATTTCTCATCTTTACCCGTACAACCAATATCACACAACCAGTTGATTTCAAACTGATTCTAGTGATCATGATAGAAATTTCTAAGTATCATTTTCACATGTAACAAGGTATTAACCAAAATTAGTGCTTAACATTTCATAACTTTTATCACTTTTGACCAAATTTCCCTCTTACACCATAATTTAATACAACATTTATCATTCACTTTTTTTAGAGATGTTACATAAATTATGCAAATAACCAAAATACCTTATATTAATTTGTTTGTTTTTTATATAATAAAAATATTGCCATTAATTAAGATGTTTGATCCTTGAAATCAAACTTCCATTCCATTTCACATTTTTATTCAATTTTAAAGCTTAAATATATTATGATACAACAATTTTAATAAATATACAACATGCATGCCCACACAACCTTATTCTTCTTCAGCCTCGAAACCCATGTAGCCCTTTCCATCAAATTTATCCCACAACATCAAGACCCAAATAGTCCGTCCTTTCCATCGTCAACCATGTTACCGGCCAGAGCCAAGAGCCCTGCCCGTGAAATTTATCAATTTCCTCACGTTATACCCAATTATTGCAACCCAATTATTGCAAGGAGTGGCAATATGTTTTGATCTTTATGGATTGCATATTTTAGAAGCTCCAATTACATGAGATCCACCTTATTTTATTGAGTAAATTATACGAATGGTCCCTATGGTTTAGGGTAATTTGCACGTTTGGTCCCTAACTTGTTTTTTTAACTCGGAAGGTCCCTACTGTTTGTTTTTGTTACACGCTTGGTCCCTGTCTTACCTAAAAAGACTATTTTGCCATTGATTTTTTTAATTAATTAAAATAAACACAACCCCAAACTCACTCCCTCACCTTACCTTACCTACCACATCATTTTTCTCTATTTAAATAATAGTCTTTTTAGGTAACACAAGGACCAAACGCGTAACAAAAACAAATAGTAGGGACCAAGCGTGTAACAAAAAGAAACAGTAGGGACCTTCCGAGTTAAAAAAATAAGTTACGGACCAAGCGTACAAATTACCCCAAACCATAGGGACCATTCGTGTAATTTACTCTATTTTATTTAAATACTACTTTAAAAAAAATTCAAAGTGATTTCCTTCCAACCGGTTTGCCCATGTGCGCAGTGTACCTTTAACATTTCCATCTTGGAGGCTTGGACTCAGGGTCGGTCCATATTGTGGGCAACCCAGGCGACCGCCCAGGGCCCACGTTTCCAGGGGGCCCAAAAGTTTTGGGCTATGTAATGTATATATATATAAAAAAATATTACCTAAATGATTTTT